GTTTGTGTGTGTATGTGTGTGTGTGTGTATGTGTGTGTGTGTGTGTGTGTGTGTGTGTGTATGTGTGTTTGTGTGTTTGTGTGAGTGTGATAAGCAACTTTGTAATGTGCATAATACATATCGTACAACCAAATCAAAACAACATTAGCTCAAGAACTCAGCCCAGAGCGTATCTAGGAGAGTAATTCTTTCCTTTGGGAGGCTACAGCATCAATGATTTCTTCATTGTCCAGTTTGGTCAAGGTCTGCTTTTCCACTGGCATCAGCATTAATGCCTCAAAATGTTCTGGTGGCATTGTGCTTCGGAGACGGGTTTTAGTTCTCTTCAGGGCAGAAAACGACAGTTCGCACGCAACATATGATACATGCAGGGTTAGTAGTAGCTTGTAAGCAACCCCAATGCCTTTGTAAGCATTGGTGAAGATGTTCAACTGGAGTAGCACCTTGTAACAGCAGAGAGGGCAAGCTTTGCATGAGATACATGTAACAGGGGAACTTGAAACATGTTGTGTGCTCAGTTCTGATTTACAATCAATATCACTGTCTTTCACCTCATAGTGATCTGCATCTGACAGCTTCAGTAATTTCTATTGTTCTCCAAGGCTTTGCAATTGTTCGCAACCCTTCAGTGGTGACGCTATCGTCAAATCTCAGTAAATACTTTTGCAGCTCTTCCATAGCCTCAGATGGGACTTCTCCAAAATTTTTTGGATGAAGAAGGGACAGGCAGCAAACAATCTAGGCCCATCAGATCCTTTAAATCCTTGTTCAAAGCAGTTGACAACGGTGTCTACAATTCGATTGTACACTTCAACATGATATGTCTTCATTGGATCAGCTGTTGGTGTAGCTTCGTCTGTACAGAATTTATCATCAATTCGTGTGCGTCGTCTTTGCCGTTTCGAGGAAAGCGACTCTTCCACAAACGAGTCTGACCCGCTCTCCTCCAGTGCATCATTCGAAAACTGAACAAACTTTGCAGCTGCATTTTGAGTAGCTTCGAAGTCAGCTCTGAGAGCATGCATGTTTGACAGCAACTCCGTCACCATCTTGCATACAGTCCAATTGCACGGTTTGCAGTTACTTAGAAAGGGCTGTAGTGCGTGAAAATATTTGCAGAAACAACTTGCGCCGTGAGCACTGTTTCAAACTTGAGTAGAGCATCAATGTATCCTCTTACTTTAGCTTCAACTACGACTGCTTGGGTGTTGTCAGCAATAAGTATAGCGTTGAGGCTAGTGATCACTTCAACAAAAAGAGCTTCGAGTGGATTGTTGAAAGAATCAAACACCTTCCTCAAGGCATCATCTTTTGACCACCATCTGGTCTCACCAGTGGTTCCCAAGCGCTTCATAGTTGTTGAGTGCCTGCTCCAGATGTTCATCCGCTGATAAGACTCCAGAAAGAACACTGCAATCTCGTTTACCAATGTAAATAGCGATGCACTGTTCGCTACAGCGCTTGTTGCCTCCGAAACAACAGGATTCAATACAGGAGCGTGGCACCAAACATGGATCTGCATTGGAGCTTTGTCCGAAAGCAGAGTACTGAAACCTCTATAGTGTGCCTGTATGTTTGCTGCACTGTCAGTTGCGTTCCAAGTGCATTGTAGAGGGTCAAGATTCAACCCTTGCATAACTTCCGAAACAATATGCACAAACGGTTCGCCGGTAGTTTCTTCGCACTTCACAATGCTCACCAGTCTTTCTTGGATGCTGCCAGTTTTATCCACATATCGAACGAAAATGGAGCACTGGTCCTGAGTTGCTATGTCCTGCGTTGTGTCAATTTTCACAGCAAACATGTCTGTTATTTCTTGCGGAATGAAGCAACGGATCTTATCCCGAATGACCGGGATGATAGATTTCACAGTAGTTTTGAACAAAAAGTAACAAATGAGCCTCTGCCTTTTGAGCTATTTGCCTTCTCATCTTTTGCCTTTCTGCGATGGACTACGAGGAAGAGGTGATCAGCTGTCCATGAATCATATCTGCGTAGCAACTTAACACTTTCCAGGAAAGTACCAAGGTCAATTTCTGCATTGTCTAAAGTGTAGGCTGCCTCTTCCGTACTTCCTCTGTAGTTTAGTTCCCTCTTGCCTATGAGTTTAACTACATCCACAACTCGATTCACCACTTGCCGTGTCTTTCTGTCTTCATCACAGTAGTCCATCACCAACACGTGGGAAGTGCTTTATTGTTTTTTGTTTTTTCATCAACCAGGTATGCTGTTGAGCATTGCAGATGCTAAGACGAACGTTCATGATGATCAATACGAGAATGTACATGCCGCCAGTCTTTCATCCCCTCAAGAAATGCGGATGTGTCTGAAGTGGCAGAAAGCACCAAGCAGACAGAACAGTGAAGTGAATGGAAGTCTTTGTTGTAATACAGCCACCATCTGTTAAAACTGTCTTCACGAATGAATCATCTTTACACCACTCAATTATCTGTCTTCTAACATGGATGATGGTTCCAAAACAGCAACCTTTCTTCTTCTGTGCATGGTTTTTAAAGTAGTCAGTCCTGAAATCATTACTTCCTGTGGCTTCAAGTTCAGTATGTGCAGTCTGTTCTGTGCTAGCCAGGGGCAATGCTTCCCTTTCACTTGTTGGTTTAATTTCTTTCATTTCACTTGATGATGGTCCAGCAACTTATTCACTGCTTTTTTCCACCTCATCAAGTTCAGTTTCTTCCCCTGCTGATAGTTCAGCAGCAGCTGTCAATTCACTACTTTCATCCTCTTGGTCAAAACCCGTTGTTTCAACTGCTGAAGGTCCAGCTGCATGTGCCAGTATGCTGCCTTCTGACACATTTTCACCGATTCCAAGTCCCTTTACATCAGCTCTTTTGAACAAATGCAAAGTATTTCGGCATTTTGAGGCACTTTCAGACAGTTTCTTTTTCTTTTGATCACGTTCCTTCTCCTCACCTCCTTTTCTTCTTTTGTGGTTTGACTTATCCATTACCACTTATCCATTCAGGCCTACAAACAATGGTTGATACCAGTAGTCTACCAGTGCTGAAAAACAGCAATTGTGAATTGACATTGTTGACATAATATTCGAACAAACATGGAATTTAAAAAAAATTTTTACACAACGACAAAAAAGACCATGATCAATCTAGAAAACAGTCACAGAAAATCCTTTAAGACGCTCTAAATGGTTTTATTGACCGACATGTAAATCAATGGAACAAAGCTGCAGATCTTTTTGAGAATGTTCAATACTTCTAAAAGATGGGTTGGATTTTTATTTTCTAAAAAACAAACAAACAAACAAACCAAAAAAGGCGAAAAGCGTACATGTTTCCTTTGATTGTGCAGTAAATTATGAGACGCAGCGAATTAAGCGGAAACGGGATGCCTTCCCCTGATTAAAAAAAAACAACAAACATCTTTCTGAACGTAACACGATAGGTCCACGTCGGCCGCCGAGATCTCAGCCAAGTAAGTAATGAGGAAAAAGATAATTTTTTTTCGAGGTTACAAGTAGATTTCTTAAACATGGAAGAAAAAGGAGTACTGGTCTTATAAACAGTAATCTGATGACATTTTAAAAAACCAATTCAGTAATTGTCCAGCATTTATAGCCGTATGGAAGGGCTGGCCACACATAACATTAAAACATTATTTTGGTTGCCTTTTGAGATGTTTCTTTTTAAAAAAATGATTAGACTCATTGTATTGAAACTACATTTAGCTATTGTAGTTCTTCGCTTATTTCTGTGGTGCATTTGCCATCACATATTTTGAACTTGTTTGATTTTTTCCTCTTTAGTTAAAAAAGATTAAAAGCAAGAACTGACTGGTGGGTGGGTGGGTGGCAAGTGCTCTGGTGAGGTTTGCTCCTTCCTTTCTGTCAAACATATATCGTCCATATCTTTCCTTTTGTGTGTGTGTGTGTGTGTGTGTGTGTGTGTGTGTGTGTATGTGTGTGTGAGAGAGAGAGAGAGAGAGAGTGTGTGTGTGTGTGTGTGTGTGTGTGAGTGTGTGTGTGTGTGTGTGTCTGTGTATGTGTGTGCTTGTGTGTGTGTGTGTTGTTTTTTTTACTCTCTTGTAACACCTCTAATTTCAGGCAGTTATATTACTGTCTTGTGTTGTAAGTGCTGTAAAACTTTTACTTTAACGCCTGCCGTAAGAACGAGACATTTTCACCCCCTTAATTTAATACACATTTCCATCCAGTCCCCTTGATCTATGTTTGTAATACTGATCAACTTTAAAATAGACATTTTGACACTTCCTTTCTTTGAGATAATTAGCAATTTATAGGCCTATTTTTCGAATGGTAGCGCGTTATGTCACCAACAATCTTAGATCTAGAGTCGGAGTCATTTTCCCAATCAGAGTTATTACTGAAATCCCTCTACAATACACCTGCTTTTTCCGCATTCAATATCACTTTCCATTCTTCCTTCATGTTATCGATTGCTTTTTTTGGTATGGTGAACAAGATAGATCTAAATTTATATTGTTCGTGAAAGAAGAATCAACGCGAATTCTGAATGAGAGCACAGACTTAATTTTGGTTGTTAGCAAAAGACATTAAATCATTTCTGGTTGATAAGAGTTTATAAAACCCAAACCCTAAAAAGTTATTGCTTGATTTTTAATTTTAAAAAAAAAATAATTAAAAAAACCGGAAAAAAACGGTATTACCTTGCGTTGTTTTCCTTCTTTAAGAACAATCTCACACTTTCACTTTCAGTCTTAACAATATCTAGAAGCCATTGAAAATCATTTTCTGAACCTGCAAATGAAAACATGTCATGGTAATGTTATATCTTGCTATTCATTCAAGCTGAGACTTTGATTTTCTTCTACATTTCTGAGAAATGATTCACTTTATAATTATGTTTTGGAAAAAAGCACAGCACAGCCTTACACTTAGAAATCTACCCAACTAACACTTTTATCAATCTTATGTTAAAAATATAATACATCGGCTGTATTCTCATTCAGTTTCAACATCAGTATTGTGATCCTAGAATTTCTACTAATTCTTAAAACCTTTCTGTCTTTTCCAAACTTTGAATAGAACATCACATCTAACTTTTTCAAACGACCAAAAATTGCCAATGAAGTATAGATAAAGATCTGTTTGGGCTTCAATACATCTCTCTATTGACACCATTATAGTAAATGTATAGCATTTCAGGTTTCTCTTGTTGGGACCAAAGCCAGATTGCATTGTGTTTTAGAGATTTTTGGCCTTAAACTTCTCTCTCTCTCTCTCTCTCTCTCTCTCTCTCTCTCTCTCTCTCTCCCTCTCTCTCTCTCTCTCCCTCCCTCCCTCCCCTCT